ATCTTCCTGTGAAATGCCTTTATGGCAGATCTTCCTGTGAAATGCCTTCTCAGTTCATTCTCTCATATATTAAAATAATAACTTAGCAGCTAGTATATCATGTTAGTGTTATCTCTTACTCATCAGTATATTTTAAACAAATCTAATTTTTGGTACTAGGTTCAAAAATGAATGTTATAGCACTAGTTAAGGTAGTATTTTTAAACTAGATTTTGTAATATATGTATCTTGGGTAAATGCTTCAAATTTCAGCAGTGAGAATAATGCCAGCTTGTATGTCCTTATCTGTCTCTTCTTAAATTCTGCAGTGGCAAAAATTGGACATCTTATAAAGGACAGTAGCAAAGTTTAACAGAGATACCTGACAAAAATTAGAAATTAGATTATCTGTTTTAGCTTATTTGAATAATTTTTTTGAATAATTTGCAAAATATCCACTGTAACAAGCACTGGTTCTGCACAGAAATGTAATGTAGGAATTATTCACTGAGAGAAATACACATCATCACCAGAAAGTACAGATATGATCCCTATCATCCCTGCTGAATAGTAGATTGTAATAAAACAAGGATTCCTGAAAATGAGGAGGAGATATTATTATATATTATTATTATTGAATATCAGGGAACTTTTTCCAAAGTTGGTTTCACTCAGCAAGATTTTCCATTCTTTGTAGCTCTTTAGGCAGTGTCAGTTCCAGCGTTATTTCTTATTCCTTTTTTTAAAGCCATATCCAGAAGATCCAGCAGTATATAAACCACTCTCCCAAGAAGAGCTGCAGAGGATAAAAAATGAAAAGAAGCAGAAACAAAATGAGAGAAAACAGAAGATATCAGAGAATCGTAAGCATCTGGCCAGTGTACGGGTTGTACAGAAGAATCTTGTTTTTGTAGTAGGTTTATCCCAGCGTCTAGCAGATCCAGAGGTAAGCTGTTTCTAGCAGTGCACCTTTCACTTTTCTAGTGTATTCTTTTTTTAAAGGTAAAAGTGGCTTAAAATGGATGGAATACATGATTACTTTCTATGTATGAACTGATCTTTTAGTGAAATTATGGGAAGTTATGAACAATATTACTCCATGTGATCAAGATTTTATTTATTAAGACTTGAGCTTTTGATAATATATTCTGAAATTTTGCATTGTGTCTTAACTATGTTAAGGTTACCAAATACGATTATTATTCTGGACTTTTCAGAAGTATTTAACACAGTAGTCATGTATTGTTTTTATAGGTTGAGTTGTCTGATACTTAACATCATTTTATTTTTCCTGAAAGCTAAATTTAAAAGATGTTTTTCAAAGCCAATGCAAATAGTTCAAATATATCTTAAACAATGGTAACTTGCAATTATAAAATTTATTTTTTTACATTATTCAATACAGGTTTTGAAAAGGCCAGAATATTTTGGAAAATTTGGTAAAATACACAAAGTTGTCATCAATAATAGCACATCATATGCAGGCTCACAGGTAAGACATTGTTCTGTACCTCTGGGGAAAAGAAGCAAATTCAATATTTCTGTGGAATGTAAAGAGTTATGTGTTGGTATACCATTGTTAATATTTTATTTAGTGATGTAATAACTAAATTTCAGTCAAATACACAAACTAGATTACTACAGCATGATTTAAGAGGATTCTTAAATTATGGGCATTGCATAAGAATAGTTACAGAATTCTACTTATTTTGACTCAGTTAATGAATTAACATTTGGTATCAATACATATATTCATATTCCATACTGAAATGTGTGAAGTCTGTGAACAATCAGCCTTGTTTAGTCAATTTAGTCATTAATAGTATAATCTAATAAAGTAATTGTTTTTAATTTTCCTCTCATCTAGAGAATAATATATTGAAGAAAGGAATGCTTATTCCATATTAATATTCAGATTACTTGGTAGGACTGTACAGCCTTCAAAAATCAGCAACTTTAAGAAGTTGCTGCTAAATGCTATGTGAGTGCCGATATGTGCTATAGTATACGTATTTACCATTGAACTGAAAGTGCTGCACAATTGAATTACTTCAAACAATTGATTTTAAATGCTAAAGGAACAAATAGAATCCTAAGAAAACAAGTAGATCCAACTGCATAATGGAGATTTTGGATAATTATGGTATTGGCATTTTCCTGACCGTCCTACCAAATTATATAAAAAGTTAGGTAGAAATAGTAGCACACTAATCATAGAATTTACTAGTTCAAATATCTCTTTAGTCATAAGGTTAAAGATGAATTTTAACAAATTACTGTTTTTCCATAAAACAGTTTTTATGATTTTTAGATGATTTGGTCTGTTGAAATACATTTACCCATGTGTGCAATGGTTTTGAAACAAATTAATTTTAAGATTTGCAATTTTGTCACATTTTAAAATATTCTTTTATTTGTGTAATGAAGCAGAAATAGCTTTTAAGATGTTTCTTGCCAGTACCTGAGATGATTTTTTCCATGTAAAAATAACTTTGTTAATAAGGTTTATTTTTACATTGACTTTAATTATATATTAATCATATATTGCAGTCCCAAATATTACTAATTTTAAAGTAAATAATAGTAATTTGGAAAGCTTTATCTAGACTTATTTTTATAAATTAACTTTTACTTAAGTTTTACATTTGGCTTTCAGCTTCATAAAATTTTAAGTACTTAAGGATCTGACTTGTAAATTTTTTAAAAAACCTAGGGTCCAAGTGCAAGTGCATATGTAACATACATCCGGTCAGAAGATGCCCTCAGAGCTATACAATGTGTTAATAATGTGGTAGTAGATGGAAGAACACTTAAGGTAATGTTAACAAATATTTTATAACTTTAGCATTTACATTTGTATAAGAATTTATCAGATTTATCCAACGGAAAGACAAAGGGAGGGTTCTCTTATATTTGGCAGATAGACAGGCACTGAAGGCAAAACTAATGGGCGGAAAATGCATATATCTAGTTGAAAATACTGTGAACCAGTTGTCTAAAGACTCAGGCAAGGAAAAGAAAGTACGGTATTTACATTGCTTTTGCCTTATTGAGGCACAGATTTTTCCAGAATCCTCATTCTAGATACAATGACTTTTGTTCATCCTTCTCATTTCCTGTCTAACTGTGGATACTTACTGGAGAACTGGGGATGAGATGAATGTACTTTTATACCACCTCAGCTTAAATTGCAATAGACTATTTATTGTAGGATTAATGATTGACAGGAACCAAAAAATCTTTTCATACTTATCTGGGAGTAACAGCCATTGAACTCAATGAGACAGCTGCCCAGAGTCTCTTGGTTGAGTTGGGCTATAGAAGTTGAATAAATAAATAAATTCTTCAGAATAACATGCATACTTGGTAAGCTCAGTAGAGGTAGTCCTCATTTAACAACCTCTATTGGGACCAGCAACTCACTAAGCAATCTGGCTATTAAAGGAAACATGTGACTACACTCGACTTACATCAGTTCTACTTTGATCACTAAGCAAACCACCCATCCTTGTTAAGCATGAGATCACTTGGCCATGACTTGTAACTTACTGCCAGCTTTCCCATTGACTTTATTTGTTGGAAGTCTGTTGTGAATGTCACAAATGGTGATCGTGTTACTGCAGAATGTTATGGTTGTAAAATCGAAGAACATTCATAAATCTTTTCAGCACCACCATAAGTTTGAATGGTTGCTGAATGAAGGAGTAATAAGGACTACCTGTATACAGTCCTGTGAAAAAGTAAGTATAGCCCATGTAAAGTGTTTTTTCTTCTTTAACATATATAGGCATATCAATATTTAACATTAAAGAAATTAATGGTGATATAATTGAATCCTTAGGAATTGACTTTGCATTTATTTATTCAACAAAAAATAACAGATACGACATTTCCTTCTTTCTGTATGGAGGCAGATCTACTTCTGCAGTATATTGTTTGTTATCTTTGAAGATTTTTGACATACTACATTTTTCATCAGGCATCTTTAGGAACCACAAAGTACTGCAGTTATTTTCTGAAGAACATGCAGTGTCCAAAGCCAGACTGTATGTATCTACATGAATTAGGAGATGAAGCAGCCAGTTTTACAAAAGAAGAAATGCAGGTAGGTATTTTGAGGGTTAATGCTTTTGTCCTAAGCCACTCTTCAAAGATTGATCCCATATGGCAAAACAGGGCTCCTCTCCCCCCCCCAATCATAATTGCTATATTTGAGATTTCCTGGAGTCAAAATTAAGAAAGAACGAGCTATAAAGCACAATTATAAAATGAGCTATTAAGCACTATAAAGCACTAAAAGCTACAAGTACAATGCTCACAACATAATATAGCTGCTTTAAAAAGTTATAAGCAGGTTTACATTTGCAGTTCCAGCATAATCTCAAAATAACTTTTTGGAAATGAATCCAAAGCACTGCTCCTGTAGAGCAATAAATAAAATAGATAATCAAATCTTCTGAAATGTAGAAGTCCTAGCTGAAAATATCAATAAGTTGAATGAGAATGTTAATATATACTTTTGCATGAGAGGCCTGAAATTGTGAGATTGTGGACAATAATACTAAAATATAATTGTGTGATGGCATAAAAATACTGTCCCCTCCTTGTTCCATTTTTTACTACTAATCTCTTTGCTGTTGTTAGTTGATCCTAAAAGGCAAAATCTCTACAATACTTCAATAACTTCACTGTCAAAATTAAATAGTATATGAGTGCTTTTTGCTAGCATAAAACTGATCAAATCAGGAATGGCAGTTAGAAACAAATCAGTAACTGAATAATATCAGAATCAGATAAGAGATACAATGGTTTTGTGGTGTAGGAAAGGAAAGGAGAAATAAGATCATAAGTTAGTTACGGTTTCACTTAGAGAATGCTTCAATTAATGACCAAATTGTCAAGTCTCAATTGTGCTTATTAAACAAGGACTATTTGTATAATAAACCACATTTTCCATTTCTGACAATGATTTGTAATGATTTGGCACTCTTGTACTATCTTATCCAATATAGATATTGATTTGGGAACTTTTAAAATGACTTTGTATTGTGCAGTATTATTTTGTGGAGATACTAGTATGTAATGGAATAAAGTATATGCTTTAATTGATCAGTTTTTTTTTTACTTCTGACTTCTCTTTCACTTCAGGCTGGCAAGCATCAAGAATATGAACAGAAGTTACTCCAAGAGCTATACAAATTAAACCCCAACTTTCTCCAGTTGTCCACAAGTGTAGTTGACAAGAACAAAAACAAAGTGGCTTCTCTACAGAGGTATGATGTGTAAGTACAGGTTCTCTACCAGAGTTTTCTTGTTTTCCATGAAAACTTCTTTTCTTCTTGATCAGTTTTATTGCATGACTTCTTAAATCAATATAGATGGCAAATTATTCTTTGTGTGTTAGTTCTGTCTTTTATATAGATGTATGGAATATTTTCAAATACATGTACATATGTTTATTAAATTTAATTTTTTTAACAGAAAATTGCCTTTCTGTTAGGCATATATACATTTACATAGAATGTCACAGTCATCATGCTGATAGGTTTTGGGGGTATAATCTGAATTCATTTCAGTTTTGACTGATGTTCTGAATAAATGTTTTATAAACTATTATTATGAAGTAGACCTGGTCTTCAATTTGGTAATGCAAACTGAAGAAATCGGTCAGATGTAGAAGGAGGTAACGTTTTCACAGAGCCCTTGAAAAATAAAATAAATCTTCATGTAAATTTTCTGACATTTGGTACTTTATTTGAATTGTGCTCCTATGTACTTCAGCTACAGTATGTTGGTGATTTTTAGATTATAGTACTTGAGAGGAAGTGCATTCAGATGTTCATTATTTGAAATTCTCAGCATATACAGTTACGGATAATTCCCCAACCAATGTTGTTTCAATAGTATCAGCTGCTATCAGCACTTTTCTTTGGTCTCAGTCCTAGTCAAGTGTCTTTTCTACATGCACATACAAGTTCAGATGACATCAGAATGCCTTCAAAGTGATTGTACTGAGCCTTCAAGTAGATGGAATACTTCAGGAAGCAAGTTTAAAGTACAGGTAATCCCCGAGTTACGAGCGTTCATTTAGTGCTCGTTTGAAGTTATGCGATAAGCGCCCCCTAGTGTTTACAAGCAAGTCCCAAATTTACGAATGTTGCAGCACCACAGCAGTTGTTCGCCTTTATGAATGACTGCAGAGGCTCTGCAACATTCACCTATTCCCCCTCCCCCTCCCCACAACTGCTTCCCACTCCCATTCTGCCGCGCCTGATTCACTTATCTTGCAAAAATCCTCTCTGTTCTGTTTCTTTGACTTTGAGGGAGAGGAGAGTTGATGGAAGCTCCTGGGTGCCTTAATATCGTGCGAGTTCAGGCACCCATCCTCTTTTGCAGAGAATGGATGCCTGAACTCTCGCGAGATTGCGGACACCAGAAACTTTCATTTATAGGGTGAAAAGTGTTTGGGGTGCCTGTCTCCTACTCTCCCCCAACTCCTTTCAGTCACCGCCGGAACACTTTTCATCCAGACGGAGACTTTGGGGAGACTGTCAGCTTTTTTTTCTGCCTGCAAATGGGGTGATTTGAAACAAAGCGAAACCCTCCATTTCCAAGTGCCCCATTTGCAGGCAGATGGAGCTTCCAGTCTCCCCAAGGTCTCCATCTGGGTAAAAAGTGTTTGAGCGCCTATGGGGTGCTTTAAAATGCTCTGTTTCAAAGCGCCCCATAGGTGCTCAAACACTTTTTACCTGGACAGAGACCTTGGGGAGACTGTATGGCTGCAAATGGGGCATTTGGAAACAGAGCATTTCGCTCTGTTCCCAAGTGCCCCATTTGCAGGCAGACGAAGCTTCCAGTCTCCACAAGGTCTCCATCCAGTTGAAAAGTATTCTGGAGGTGGAGGAAAGGAGTTGGTGGAAAGCAGGAGACAGGCACTGCAAACACTTTTGACCCCAAAAATGAAAGTTTCTGGGGTCCATGTTCTCATGAGAGTTCAGGCACCCATTCTCTGCAAAAGAGGATGGGTGCCTGAACCCACATGATATTATGGCACCCAGGAGCTTCCGTTGATTTTCCTCTCCCTCAAAGGCAGAAGCCATGGCAGAGAAGAAACAGATCTTTGCAAGGTAAGTGAGTCCGGCATGGAAGGAAGGGAGGGGAAAGCATGAGGTATCTTAGTGAGGCCTTGGGGGCCTGTTCCATCACTAGGCCCCCAATAGCCTTCCCCAGACTGAGATACCTCATATGCACTTAACAAGCAGCACTAAGAGCAGCACATTCAAGGTATGAGATTCAAGGTACAAGATTCACTCCCATGATTTCTCGAGTTACAAATGGAATGGGCAGGCTCCATTACATTTGTAACTCGAGGACTATCTGTAATGTTTTGGTTGTTTTGCAAACTATCCGTCAAGTGGCTTACATAGTCCTGCTATTTAACAGTTTGTGTGTCTTTCTTTTTAGGGTAGTTTTCTCAAGTTAAAAGTTTCACTGATTATCTTAATTTGTGGATACACTGTTATTATTTGAAAATGAGGAATTTTATGTTTAGAAAGTACTGTGTTAAAACATTTGTTAAATACATTTTTTAATTAATAGTCTAAGAGAAAGCAAAATAATTAATAGTATAATAATTGGATAGAGTTGGTACAATAAATACCAGTAGTTGATGATTAGAACAAATGGTTGGTGATCAAGAATAAGTTCTTTTTTTTAAATGGCTTAGTAAAAAATACTTTTCAAATTAACTTTCAGATAGCAGGGTCTTATATTTCTGTGTCATTTTGTCCAGTGTTGATTCAGGTTATCAGCATTATCTTGAGAAATAATTAAAGGCATTTAGGAAAGTTGATGAAATATTTGCAAAGTTAAAAATGTATTAGCAAAATTTGTAATAAATACAGTGTAGACCAGGGGTGTCAAACTGTTCCGTCCCCGTTCCGACCCACACACCCAAACAGCCAGCCAAGGGTTAAAGACTTCTCCAGACACCACTTCACAGATAAGAAACTTGGCAGCAGCTCCGTAGCTGCCTGCCAAGACCTTTTACTCCAAACACACAGAAACAAAAACAATACACACAGTTTAAAGCCACAGCAAATTACTTTTCCAGAGATTCAGCTTTTGTCCGTCACAGAGGTCCAAATGGCCACCACCACCCTTTTATAGCCTGTGGGGTGTGGTCCAGTGACTCAGCTTAATCTCTGGCACGTCTCTTTTTCTGCTGCGCACGCTTGTCGCTCCTACGTTGGCGTGGATCCAGCCACAACTTATCTTCCTCATTATCCGACACACCTGGCTCCTGGCCAATCTCAGAAACACCTGGCTCCTGGCCAATCTCAGAACCACCCGGCTCCTGGTCAATCTCTTCTCTGTCGGGAGACACCTGAGGCATTGCCAAACAGGAGGGTCCTGGAGAGGGAGGCCTAGCCATCTCCTCTCCTTCATGTTCGGAGCCTTCTTCCTCTGATAAGAGGGGCTCACAAGACGGAGCCACAACACAAACTGCCAGCCCTCACGCCGGTTGCATCATTTGGAGGCCTCGCCCACCCCAGCTCCGCCAATGCAAAAAAAAAGTCACGATATGTCATGACACGTCATATGACATGAGTTTGATACCAGTGGTGTAGACTTTTCTTCTTAATCCAAGTGATCGATTTCAAGTGAACAGGACGATCAGATTGATCTTTTTCATTTTAGTATCTTGTTTGGATCATGTTCTATCTAGTTATACTCTATTTAATATCTGTTTCAAGAGAGAAATATATATTGAAGGAAACATCTTGCAAGGTTCAAATTAAATTTTCTCACAAAATGAAAAGGAGAAATAATAGCATTGGATTCTGAAATCATGAGAAATTCTGACATGGCTTGTCTCAACAAAGCAGGAATCTAAAGCTTCGTAATCATTCTTGCAAAATGATTTTGTGTGGAATTGATTGACATCAAATTAGCATTTGTGATATGTTTATTTGATCGAAAGATAGACTCTCTCAGCTTATTGATTGCCTAAATTTTCTATGCTATCCTAATAGCATTTAAGTCTTCATTATCATACTTTAAAAGAAAGGAAGCAGCATGAAAGGGAATGTAGAGTCTTGTAAGCTGTTCTTGGTAGCATTTTTTAAAAAGGGACTGAGTTTAGTTCTTTAACTTATTTATCTTTGTTTCTAAAAGAAGTGGTATTAAGAGGCAGGCAGAGATGGGCCTCTTCTCAAAATATCAATGTAACTTGTGCCAAATAATATTTCATTAAGATTTTATGACACATGTATATATATTGTGGAAAAGCCACTACAGAAATTGCATGTTCTTCTTTTGTAGGAAATGTCAGATTGCTACTTTCTGTTTAAGATAGTTTTAGGAAACATGTTTTATTAAAACTTTGCAGCAGTAGTGATTATAAATACATTAATCAAAAACAGATTTTTAGATATCAATTTATTCTGAACATTGCACTTTTGAGCAGAGTTTAGGATAACTGATTATTTGGAAGATTGTCATTCTCCATTTGAAAAATGGAATTGAAGCAGTTGTGCCGTTTTTTACCTTTTTCCATTGCTGGAGAGGATGAAGGCACCAATGAAGAAATACAGCAAATAGATCCCAAAAATGGAAAACTGTAAAAGTGGGGGGGGGGTGGTTGTTTTTTTTTAAAATAAAATTTTATTGATTTTCTAGTTTTACATTTAAATATTTAAAAAGCAACATGGCGGCTAAGTTAATTGATAATTCAATAACATACAAGTATCTTTAGTACAGATCTCAAACTATTACATTAAATATTTCCTCTCTTTTCCCCTTAGTATTTACTGTCTCATATTTAAACTAATACAATTCTTATTATATCGATTAAATAAAAATAACTTTCTTACATTTATCAATATTTTTTTGTTTATACATTTCCTAGTTATTTTAACATTCAATCTTTATAGACAATCAATGTCATAATTACAGTAGTTTTTCCCAATTTTAGTTTCCCTTTAATATTTAAATTTAATATTTAATAATTATAATTTCCAAGTTTTAAGTAACCCCAGTTCCCTTTATCACAATTCATCACAAGATCTAATGTTCAGGATACACATCTTATTTATTTGAATATATTCTATTTCTCACCATTTTACATCAACTAATTGATAATAAGTATAATGTTCCTATTTTCTGTTAATTTCCAAATATCTTAAATTTAATAACCAAAATTTCTCTTATTTCAACATTTAATACTTCCTCTCTTTTTCTCTTAATATCTACTATCTCATATTTAAGCTAATTGTTTTTATTATAACAGCTAAGTAAAAACTTATTTATATTCATCAATAGATTTTTAGCTTATATATATCTTAATTACTTTTACATTTAACCTTTATAAGCAAATCAATATTCAAATTTAACTGTTAGTATTTATACTTCTAAGTTTTAAATGATCAAAGTTTTCTTTATCTCAGCTCATGACAAAATATAGTATTCAAAATACACATCTTATCTATTTGGGTATGTTCTATTTTAATTCTCACTAATGAGTCAAAACCCCAATTTTCTTCAGTCTTATTCTAGCTTGCTTTCTTTGCCAACTCATCTTCCATGTCCGTGCTTTTAAGTCATCAAATAAATCTCCCTGTGTTGTTATGTATGTTGTTTGAAGTAGAAAAAGCCATCTGGTCGCCATTTTTTTTGAAAGGATTAACAAATCATCTCTCTGTTTTTCCATCTCGATGTAGTTGTCCTGAACTGTTTATCTTCTCTTCAGTCTGTTCTTCTTCTTGATCCTCAGGTTTCTTCTGGTTTATATAAAAAGTCTTTTCCCTTTTCCATGTTGTCAGTCCCTTTTCTGGGTTTTCCATTAACTGTGTTTGTTGATCATTGAATCTTCTGTTATAGTATTTAATTGTTCCACTTCTATTATATTCTGTGTAGTTGATTTTTTAGTTGTGATCAAAGTTTGGGTTTGTATATCTAGGCTGACATTTTGTTCTTTTCTGTAACTTCTTATTTCATCAGTAGCTATAAAAATAATTTCATAAATTGCTTTCAACATAAAGAAAATCTGTTCATGCTCTTCATCCATGTTTTCTTAGTAGTGTGCTAAGTTAAAAGCTTTATAATCAGAGAATGAAAAACAATTTTTTATCACTGAATATAGAACACAGCTGGGCTTCTCGCAGCTGATATCTGTCAAGGTTACAAAAGTCTTATCTATAGTCTGGGCTACAAACCAAGTCTCTTTTAAGCAATAACAAGTTGTAATATCAGGTTTAGCCACAAGATGTCGCCCATACCATTTAGAGTTTTCTTTTAAGTCCAAAATTTTTATAGTCTTTTCAGATTTACTTCTTTTTTGTAAGTAAAAACCCAGATCTTCAGTAAGAATAAAAAATCTTTTAGTCCACAAATTTTTAAAAAGATAAAAATCCAATTAGAATCAAGTTATTCTTGCAACGTTTTAAACTCCCCTGGATAGTCAGGGGAAAAGTACTTTGAGCAGCTTATGCAGGTAAAAAAAATAGTTAGGATTTAAGAGAGGTAGATCTCACCCAGTCTTATCCGCGCTGCTTTATAGTTGCCTGGTGGTAAATTTGACTTTGGCTGACGAGCCATATTTCTATGGCTGCTCTTTCGTCCACCAGTTTGGAGGGCTGCCCCCGGATCGAGCGGAAGGACTACCACTCTCCCGCGATCAAACGGGGATCCCCTCCTCACTGGTCGCCCCTACAGGGCGACTTTCGACCCTTTCCAGGGTCCCCCAGCAGTGTGAAATCGGACATGGAAGACAGAGCTCGCCTTCCAAACATCTGTGGCGGCCGCGTCGGCAAACCGGAAGTCAAAAGTGTTTTTTGTTAATAGCTTATATAGTTTTAAAATCAATTCATATTGATTTCTTTTAAACAATGCTTGAGAACCCAGAACTTTCTACATTACAAAAAATTAATGCTGGAGCATATACAGGTAGTCCTTGATTTACGATCACAGTTGAGCCCAAAATTTATGTTGCTAAGTGAAATATTTGTTAAATGAGTTTTGCTCCATTTTAAGATCTTTCTTGCCACAGCTGTTAAGTGAATCACTGCAGTTGTTAAGTTAGTAACACGGTTGTTAAGTGAATCTGGCTTCCCCATTGATTTTGCTTGTCAGAAGGTCCCAAAAGGTCACATGACTCCGGGACACTGCAGCCATCATAAATATGAGTCAGTTTCCAAGTGTTTGAATTTTGATCACATGACTATGGGGATGCTGCAGTGATTGTAAGTGTGAAAAAAGTCCTAAGTTACTTTTTTCAGTGCCGTTGTAACTTTCAACAGTCACTAAATGAACTGTTGTACATCGAAGACTACCTGTACACATATGTAACATGCAATATAAGGTTCTGAAATCTTTTATTTTTTCATACAGATAGCACTTTATAAAAATAACAAGGAAAAAATTTGGATCAACTAACAGAAGAAAAAAGCTATAATCATGCTTCTTTTAATATGAATGGAAGTTCATGTATTGCTATAGAAATCATCTAAATAACTAAAGATGATGTTATCAATTTTATTCAAACTGTTAATTCCTTTTCCATTCCAGAGGAGCTTAATTCATTTAGATGTGCTTATATTGGTAAAAGTGTTGGAATTAAAAGATGGGAAGGGACTAAGAGGAAGGTTGGATAGCTCAGGTTTACAATAACTAATACGTTTTAGAAGTATGAAGCCAGCCCAGGGAAAAGTCATATTGAGAATGTAGGCATACAGTTTATCAGATGCAAGATGAACCATACTAAAAAAAATAATAAAAAACAGACAATGTGAAGTCTTTGAGGATTCTAGATTTTGATGGCCAGATTTGCCTTGACCATTACATATACACAAATACAAATGTAACTACTTTACCTGATGCAGCCACTCACCACTTTTACTTCTGTAGTGTTACATGCAGACACTACAGTTTGAGTTAAAAGATTTCCCTGTTCCTCAGCACCATTTAAGGAATGCGGAATAATTTCCCCAATGTTTCATTTTTAAGATTTTCTCTATAACTTGAACTCTCTTTTACTTTCACCTCTTTCCAGACCCAACAGTAATAACAAAGATGCCTGGCCATCATTACAGAGTTCAAGTAAATCAGTCAACGGCTTAACAATGGAACACAGGAAAACGCCTCCTATTTTAGAAAATGGCACAGACCCAGAACACATGACTCCAGATGGTCCAGATTCAGATTTCGGGTAATTGTGCTGCATTTTATACTTCAGTTAGTTTTCTTTCTCTCTCACTGTTGTGGAGGGATGATTTTTTTTTTTCAGCCTCTGTCTGGAGAGCTGAATTCAAATGCTGATAAAATTACAAATAAATATGGTTGCCCCAGTTCACTAGTTGATTTTTTAATCCTAATGTGGATGAAAAAACTGTTCATTATTCAATGAGCAGCTTTTCAGTAGATGCCTGTATAAAGGTAAGGGTTGCAAATGAGAAGAAACATTTTTAAACAATCGCTGGCGTCAGCATTCTAGGAAAGGATAATATCACAATTAAACAACAAACTTGTATTGCAGTGTATGAACTCTGATTTCTGGTGACCTTTACTTAAGTGATTTAAATATTTTGAACCAAATGTAAAAATAAAAATATTCACTTAGATTATATTGGTATTACACAAATATGACTCTATACTGAGTTGCATTAATTTTTCCTTTTCCTAAAAGTTTCTGGATTTGTATTAAATATTTTAAGAAATTCCTTACATCGTGAATATTTTGTGTTTTTATATCGTGAATTAAAAGTGCATATACTATAGCACTTTGATGTAGCTGAACTTGTGTGCTTCATGTTGCAGTAATACTGTGTAATCAGGAAAAAAATCATGGGGTCTTGTGCCATAGTACACAGGTTGCTCAATTAATTTAGTAGTAATAGATGAATGCCTTTTATTTCAATAGTTACTCTTGTATTGAATGAATACTTCACATCTAATGATGATATTTGAACACTTCAGGATGCACCATTCTTGTAGAAGAATATTCTTATTTGTGAGACCACTCTTTGCCTGACCAAGCACTTTATGTTATTTTACCCAAGTTTAATCTCCTGCCCAGAAACAAGCAGTCTGATTTACATTGTATTAATTGTAAATGAAAAGGTGTCTACTAAAATGGGTCATAAAATAGTGTGGTAACGCTCTACGATTGTTAGTTTATTTCAGTTATAAGTGTAGGAATAGTATTGAAAATATTTTGAAAATCTAATGTGATTTCAGCTATAGAGGAACTCCACAACAGCATATAAAATGAGGCTTTCCTTCTTCCATAATGTAGGTTATGGAAAGTCAGCCCAATGGAAGGAAAAATGACCATGTTCTTCTGTTAATGCTATTGGGTTAGAGAAAGAAAAAAAATATATTTTGATACACATTCAGCATTTCATCTAAATCAGGAATGCAGTTTCAGATGTCAAGATTGCATGCAACCTATCAAAAGTTTCAGTGTGACCTCCCCAGGCCCCCCTGCACATATCAGTAAAAATTATAATGTTTAAGGAACAGAAGGCAGAAATTATTAAATATTGGGATAAGCCATATTATATTCCCCACAATTGCATACCTCCGCTCTAATTGGTTCTAGGAACTTACCTGATATTCAGACATACTTTCACTAGCCCAAGAAATTAAAGTTTATATTTGTAAGGAAAAATTGAATATTTAGGCAGCTATTTATCAAGCCAAGTGTTTTCATCATTATATAATGGAATAAAATTCAAAATTAAATCTTGAGTGTCTGAAAAATACAATCTGTTCCAATGCAGTTTAAAACATATTTAGAAAGTGTTAAATAACAATTAGAAATGCAGTATACACTTTTTCATATCTTTTCCAGTTTACTCCTTTATATTAAATAAATTTCCAAGTTTTTACATTTTGTCTTTCTTTTTGTCAGTTAAGTTTGCAATAATCAAATTTCGACTAAGGTCACTTAACCTAGCTAGTGTTTGAAGTGTAATTGCTATTTTATTTTAAATAAAAAGTAAAAGTAAAGGATTCCCTGCGGATTTTATTCCACTAGTTGTAGCTGATTTTAGAGGGTGCTGCTCATCTTTGTTTCTTTTAAGTCATTGAGCCAGAGCTATCTGAAGATATTTCTGTGGTCATATCATCAGCATGACATCATGCCACAATGCAAAGCGTACAGTGAAACATGGAACGCTGTTACCTTCCCGTCTAAGTAATACCTATTTATTTACTTACATTTATAGTACCTTCTCCGATGTCTTTTAAGCACTGAGCCACTGTGCTAAATGCACTTGAAAATAAATACTACTGGTTCTTTATTAATTTTGTACAGATAATCCCCGATTTATAATCACAGTTGGGACCGGAATTTTGGTTGCTAAGTGATGCTGTTTTTAACAAGTCGTCATATGACCAGACCAGATTTTACAACTATTTTTACTATGATCGTTGAGTGAATCACCATGGTTGTTAAGTGAATTGCATGACTGGACGGGTTTGGCTTCACCCAGTTGATGTTGCTTGTCAGAAACTGGCTGGGAAAGTCACTAGTTACAATCACATGACTGCAGAAGTCTGCAACTGTTTGTAAATGCAAACTGATTGCCAAGTGCCCGAATTGTCATCATGTGACTGTAGGGATGGTGTAACACAGCGGTTCTCAACCTATGGGTCGCGACCCCATTTGGGGTCGATAGACCATTTCACGGGGGTCGCCAAGCAAGGCTGTCCGCCATTTTTTTTCCCTTTTCCGGCGGGTGCCTTACCTCCCTTGGGCTGGGCCAGCTGGTGGTCGGCCTGCTCCATCTCTGCCGCTTGCCAGCTACGCCTCGGCCGGCGCAGGGGGCAGAACCACGCACGCGCAGCGCTCCCGGGCAGGGAAAGTCCTCGACTTACGACCGGTTTAGTCCTCGACTTACGACCGGTTTAGTCCTCGACTTACGACCGGTTGGGGTCGCAGCATTAAAAAGGTTGAGAACCACTGGTGTAACAGTTGTAACTTTGAGGATAGGTTGTAAATCATTTTTACAAGATCGTCATAACTTTGAATCATCATTAAACAAACAATTATAAGTCGAAGACTACCTATAGTGACTTTTGCTGTCCTAACTAGATTCAGATGAAACCATAGGCTTGGGATATATAGGCTTACAGCATTAAGACACTTTTTGAAATATAACTATTATAGATGTAAGATTAGACTTTATTGTGAGAATAGTTCTGAGGGGTGCCTGGGTTTAATGGCTCATTTAAATATTTTCACTTTAAAAATAAAGGGTTATTTTTGTTTTTATTGTTACACAAAATCATCTTAACAGTTTACAATTCTTAGATTAAATTTATTTTTAACTTGAATAACAAAACTCACAGCCTTAGAATCAGGTTTATTTATTTGTTAATCAAATTTATATAGCTGCCTATCTCATTGCAGGCAGTTCTGGGTGGCACACAACAATCTTTAAAGAATTGTTTAAAAACATGTCAAGAGTGGAAAGAATACATTACAAGTAAAGTAGCTATATCTCTTGAATTAGGATGCTTTGCCAGTAATTAGGATTTATATTGTATTTTAAAAGTAACTAAAATCACTTTAGTGACAATTGGATACAAAATTGGCTAATTTCAAGAAAGACCATTTGAATGCTGTTCCTTTGTCTTGCTATCTTCACATATTCTTCTTTATAAAACTCCAGTTTAACATTGACCATATCATTTTCATCTACGAAGTAGTAATGCTATTCTTCAAAATAATATTAATAGTATTGTTTTCCATCCAAATTTTATATATTGGA